CGTTAACAACAAAACTGAAAATGGCTCTAGATTTGTAATTTTGATAAAGACAAGTTAGATTTCAAATAAAAACAAAAGATTTCGAAGTAAAATAAGCATTTTAGTAAAAATTAAAATTGTCTCTACCTGTAGCGGAGAATAATGTTGTGGCAGGCCTTTGTTCAAACGATCATAGCAAATGTTGTGATAGGGATAGAGACATGCGATTTTTGGTTTTACAAAGATAATACGATAGAAAATAATAAAAAGTAATAAAAACCATCTGTTATAGGGGCATTTTTTGGAGAAATTTATAAAATAACCAAAAAAACACGAATTTTTAAGCAGATTTTATTCAAAAAGTATATTTTTTTATTATTTGTTGGCCTTTTTTGTGTATTTTATGTATTTTTTAGTATTGCCTGTTATTTAGCATTATTACTGTTTTTATTTTATCAGGATCTACCGCTTTGTTTAAAAGTTACTACGTTTTCTTTACAATAAGTAATTGGAAGAAAAAAAATTCTATAAAAATACACTTTAACGTGACTCACACTGTATAATAAATTTTATAAAATCCGATTTGTATGAAAATTAAAATAATTAAAATGAAGATATCAATTTTCTGATTTCACCATACCATTTATATACCCATGTTAACACGGGCTTGTGTCGGCTCATATACCCATTTACCTAACACCGTGTATAAACCTGAAGATTTGAAGTATTTTCGTCGATACAATTGTCCATAGATCACGCACACTACATGCCCGGACACACTGTATAATAAAATTATGTATCTATAGCCTGACCAGGAACATAAAAACCCTCGCCATGTTGCGGAAAACTAATGGTACTAATTTCTTTTAATGGCAACAGTAACTGAAAACTTCATTGACATGTCACCTTGCATGTCAGTCTATTGGTGAATTAAATTGCTAAAATATTTTTATAGTCGTGAAAGAAAAGTGGTTCACGATGTGTTAATGTATTTGTCGAAGAGAAATACTAAGGGTTCGGACAATATTTTCATTGAATAATGTTTCCGACAAAGGTTGTCAAATTGACTGACATGTTTATCGTATAGTACAGTCCACTATGAAAATTAGCTGTAGTCTGTTTCAACTACCTATTTTAAAGTTTTTTGTCACTTTCTAAGTTTTGAATTTTATGGAATTGGGAAAGAAGTACCGAGTTTGAAGCGTTCATGAGCAGACATTGCAGTTGAATATTCATGTTCTGAATTTGATTATTGATGAATAATAAAATAAATCCTACTAGCTCGATTGATGGTTTCATTTAATTTATTTAAACCAGGTTATCTTTAATAATATTTTTCGTTAATTTATGAAAATATCAAATTAGCCCGTAATCCTGAATCCTGATACATAAATTTAGCCTATTAATTTAACACATGTACGACTGTACTCAGTGTTGCACTATCAAATGCAATTGAAGCGCCTCTGTGCCAGGGTTTTTATGTTCCTGGTCAGGCTATACTGTTGTTATCCATATTGACTGACATGTACCTTTGTTTTGTAACAAATCCTAGATGATGAACGGTCATGTTTAATTATGTTTTTCGGTAAATTATTATAGTAGTGAGAAAAATAACAATTGGCTGCTCCGAGTGTGCGATCTGGAGCCTAAACCAGGGCTACGCTGCACTGTATGCTTCTAAATTAATGTCACGTCGCACAAAATTTTCGGTATGTTAGGTAAAAAGTTAAAATGCATTTTTGAAATTATTTTATTATAGATATTTAGTAGAGTATTTAGAGGGGGCCTTACTAATGAAAAGGTACAACACGCATGTTTAATTACTTTAACATTGCATTATAAACATGCGTGTAACTTTCTTACAGTAAGGGGTAGTAAATTTTGTCGTTGCAATTTTATCTTTGATTTGTGTGGTGTGCAGCAACAAAAAGTAATATCTACATGTGTACTAAATTACATTACCTACATATACCTACTTATTACTTACATAATATTGCCTAGTCTACGAGCTGAAAGACATAAGTAGTATTTTTAGTATGAAGTTCATTGAATCTAATAAAAAGTTTATTTATACATGTATTTTAGACGTATACATTGTTTCTTATATTTTAAGGACAAGTGACTATTTTATGTGCTGTTTATAAATGTTATAGGATGATTCAAAAAGTGGTTAGGTAAGTGGTGTTATCTTACTTTACTACACTCGTATGCTATAATTTTTTAGGCTTTCCTCTATTAAATACTATACAGTGTGTCCGGGCTTGTAGTGATCAAACTTTAATGGCGTAATCTATGGACAATTTTATCGATGAAAATACTTCAAATTTGGGGCTTGACCTATTTGTCGCAAAATTACGAGGATTTAAGTTTTTAATTTTTAGTTTTCACCTCTTCCTTCAAAAACAAGTGAAAACGTGGGTAACTTAACATTAATAAGCGAATATTTGATATCATGTGATAGTCAATAAAATTATCTATTAGCAGAAGTAGAAAACGGACACAAGTTTCATACATTTTATGGAAGTAAGAATGGATTGAACTAGAAAAAGACATGATTTTTTTCACTTCTTTTTCAGTTATTTGCCAACACAAGAAAAACCAGGTCGTTAAAGTATGTTTTATTTGCATTGTATTATTAGTATTTGAGCTATTCTACAAAACGAATGTAAATTTATTAGTCTACGTCTATTAGTTTCGACGTAATTGTTGAACAAAGATACCTCTTCCCACCCGGTTCCATAGCGCTGCTAACATGCGAAAATGCACTGCCTGAAAGAATCAGACAACCTATTCCGACGTGCTATGGAACCGGCTGGGAAGGGGTATCTTTGTTCAACAATTACGTCGAAACTAATAGACGTAGACTAATAAATTTACATTCGTTTTGTAGAATAGCTCAAATACTAATAATACAATGCAAATAAAACATACTTTAACGACCTGGTTTTTCTTGTGTTGGCAAATAACTGAAAAAGAAGTGAAAAAAATCATGTCTTTTTCTAGTCCAATCCATTCTTACTTCCATAAAATGTATGAAACTTGTGTCCGTTTTCTACTTCTGCTAATATATAATTTTATTGACTATCGCATGATATCAAATATTCGCTTATTAATGTTAAGTTACCCACGTTTTCACTTGTTTTTGAAGGAAGAGGTGAAAACTAAAAATTAAAAACTTAAATCTTCGTAATTTTGCGACAAATGGGTCAAGCCCCAAATTTGAAGTATTTTCATCGATAAAATTGTCCATAGATTACGCCATTAAAGTTTGATCAATACAAGCCCGGACACACTGTATTATCATGATTAAACAAAACATACCTTCATGGGTGCAGAGGTATGATGTATTTACTATTTTAAAAATTATGCGGATTAGCTAGATGGATAAACATTTTTTTATTCTTCAAATTGTAAATTGACTCGGTCTTGCGCGCCCTCTACAGGAAGTGTTGTGGTGTGATAATGTTTAAATGTTAAGACAGAAGAATTACTTAGTTATTTCAAAAATATCTAAGTTAATGAGTTTTTATTTCACAACATACTTTACATTCAATCGCAAAGTGCCACGGCAAAAGCCCGGTAGGCTGCACAGTGCACACTTAAGTAATTTCATAAAACCGACAGCTTTCCGACTGAAAGCTTTAATTGCCGAACTAATGAAATAACTCAGTGCCTCATGACTATGTTTTCAATACGATACTTAGCAGTGTCTGCAAATAGTTATACCTAAAAGGTTATTTTAATGGCTGTTTTTAAAAATAATGCAATAGCAAATGCAATGCAGTATTAATTTGTAATTTAGAGCAATCAATATTCTAAAAGTGTGGTATAAGTATGTAGGCTGGCCTACTATACTCTCGACCACAGTTCCAGCTATCCCTTTCCGTTTTTTCTCTCGCTTTCATCAAATAGCTAAAATTCTTTGCGTTAGAACGAGACGACATGACCGGAAATGGGTATTTAGCTGGAATTGTGGCCCATAGTACCTATACATCTGAAAATTGATGTAAATTTTACGTTAACTTATTTAACCTGGTGACAAACTGGGTAGAGTATTTACGTTATCATTGATAATTTTGGCTGATGGTCTTCACAAAGGAAAAATATTACTGAATGTTAGGTTAATTTTCACTCTTAGCCAATCCTTTGTACAAGTAATTTAGTATTTAATAAATTCAGTGACGTTACTTACTGCACACATTGTATAGTTATCAATTTTAGTGGATCCATCTTCCAACCCAGTGGTGAAAGCTTAAAACCCCAAGCAGTGATGATTGTAGATCTACTTTGGTACATAACATCAATTTTAACTAAAGACCGTCCCTCGTGATCATGACAGTCTTGTGATCTAAAGGCTGTGGAATTCATTTGGCTATTTTATTAGTTCCTTTAAAACATTAGATTACTGTTTTTGAAATATTTTTATAATCGTGTAAATTCCAAATTATTGTCTTTTTAACGCATTTAACTTAGTTCTAGAGTCGCCATATTATTATTATTTTGTTGTAATGTGAATTTTTTTCAATAAATTATCATCATTGTATGAAGTTTATTTATTTGTACCTTTTCTTCCTAAAATCCACATTTATTTCCCTCCCTCCAAATTACAGACTCCAGAATATTGTAACTTACATACTTAATACCTTGTCTTTTTTTTTCATAGTGTTGCAAATTATCGCACTTTGGACATAATAGCTAACTAAGATAGCTAGTTCTTTTCTCAAAGGAAAAAATAAGTATAAATAATATATGTACAGGGTGTTAGGTAAATGGGTATATGAGCCGACACTAGCCCATGTTAACATGGGCATATAAATGGCAAATAAATGATATCAAATTTCTGACTTCGCCATACCATTTATATGCCCATGTTAACATGGGCTAGTGTCGGCTCATATACCCATTTACCTAACACCCTGTATACAGGGTGGACCAGAAAGACGTACGATTTTGAAAGCTGCATAGCTTCAGATCGGTACTCGTGGGTATTTGTAGTTTGTAGTTCACGTCAGGGATTGGTAGAACGGAGCGTTTCACCGGAGAACGCCGTACATTACAAAAAACATCTTTACTTAACGTCAAGTAGGATTGCAATCAAATACTTGCCTCAATTAAAATGCAAAATTGGAAAGTTTGCTATAGTACGTAATAAGATAATGTCTCACCCGCAGCAGGTGGTGTCCTACGTGGCACTTGGGGCTGGCGAGCACGACGAGCAGCATGTCGAGTGTGGGCGGCGTGCAGGCGCGCGTCCAGCCCGCCGCCTGCTGCAGCTGTAGGCTACACTCACCCGCAGCAGGTGGTGTCCCACGTGGCACTTGGGGCTGGCGAGCACGACGAGCAGCATGTCGAGTGTGGGCGGCGCCAGCGCGGCGGCGTGCAGGCGCGCGTCCAGCCCGGCCGCACGCAGCAGCAGCCGCAGCGCCGCCGCCTGCTCCGTCGGGGACCCGTCCAGCTCCACCACCTACGGACACGTTACACGTTATCGTTCATTCGTGGCCGCCCGCGACTTCGTACGCGTGGATCCCGTTTTACCAGCACAAGGGTTGAATTTTGCAAAATCCCGTCTTAGTGAGCACCTACGTTCTAATAGGAAGAACCATGCAAAATTTGAGACTCCTACATGCAGTTACTAGTGAGTCACTAGTGAGATTTCGTGATGAGTGAGTCAGTCAATCGGTGACTTTTCGCTTTTGAAGACATCGATTTCAGCCAAATCACGTTCACTGCTGGATAAAGTCCTCCCCCAAGAATTTCTAGATCGACCGGTCCTGCGCTGCCCGCATCCGACCACGGGCCAGAAAACGAAGTGTGGGCAGGCCTCCACTAGGAGGACCAACGATCTGAAGGTCGCGGGAAGTACCTGGTCCTGGATGCAGCAAAGTTATAACTTCACTAAATACTCATAATGGCAAAGAGTAAAGAATGCAACGTATGGTACAAATTTTCCAATTCTTCACTCTGTATATTTCCACAGTCGATAAGACCGGCAACGTCTGATATCTGCAGTGTGAACAGCTCTTGAAATAGTTCTTGAAAGTAGCCGCTAGGGGCGCTGTACAATCTGTCATACATTTAATGTCATTTTTTTACGTAGTCACTAGCGAGCACACGTAACGTAAACTCATGGTAAGCACACTGACGTAAAATCGGCCGATAGCTCGCTTCTGGTGTCCGACTTACCCTGGCGTAGAGGTAGAGCAGCACCTCGGGCCCGCCCAGCGCGTGCAGGGCGGGCGCGAGCCCCTCGTGGCGGCTGGGCAGCGCCGCGCCCGCCCACGCCACGCCCACCGCCTCGGGCGCGCCGCCCGCGCCGCCCAGCGACCCGCCGCCCGACACGCGGCTGCCGAACACTGATGGAAACAATCAACTAATGAGGGCTATCGTTTTTATACTTAACAGTTGGCACCCCTGGCGATTGACAGGACCTTACTCTACAGTGGCGCCATCTTGATGAGTGCAAATGCGATAGTCCTCCTACAACTTTAGCGCTCACCAGTTGGTGAGTTGGTGCCACTTCTTCGCTACTAGCAAGTGACAGGACCTTAAACTACAGTGGCGCTAACTGGTGAGCGCTAAAACGATAGCCCTCATTAGTTCAGTTTAACTAATTCAGTGCAACTAATTACACGCAAGGTAGAGATACCTACCATATAACGGCTTCGGCCGTTTGGTGTAGTGGTTCGAAACGGACTACTATTCCGGAGGTAGCGGGTTCGATTCCCGCACAGTACAAACATTTGTGTGCATGAACATATTTGTTTGTATTGGACTGGGTGTTTTCTATGTATAATAAGTATGTATTTACAAAAAAAAGTATTTAAGTATGTTTATATCCGTTGTCTAGTACCCATAGTACAAGCTTTGCTTAGTTTGGGACTAGAAGCGCAGTGTTAAATGTCTAAGGATATTTATTTATACAGACTTGTTTTACTACATCACCATACTACATCATCACCGAATCAGTGCCTGAGGTATGGAAGCGGCACGGGAGGGGTGTTTTTGTGACGTCAGCAAGATTTGTATGCTCTGTCACGTCATAAAATGTCAATGTCACACCTCCCGTGCCGCTCGCATACCTCAGGCACTGGCTGAGTTAAGAGCTAAACCTATAATATAACTTAAATATCTGATCTGATTTTAACATAACACCGCCCGTCAGCGAACATTATAAAAGTTCGGTCAAACCAACACGCTCAGCCTGCGTCCGGTGTAGCGTGCACGGTGGCGATCACTGAAAGTTGTTCACACTGCCGCGTTAGCCAAATCAGCCATTTTAAAATCAGAAACCTCAAAATAACAAGCGCGATCTGATCGCCACCGCCGCGCGTGCAGATGCTGCGTCAATGTGAACACGTCGCTATAAATTCATACACGACGTTTGATCGCCACCGTGCACGCCATCGCGCTCACTGAACGCATTGGTTTGGCCGAAGCATAAAACATTATTGCTGCGCTTATTTGTGGTTCTCTTTGCAAAATAGAACACAGATGTTTTATTTTTATAGCTTTTTCATGGATTCTGTGGATACAAAAGTATTCCCGTAAGCGAATTTCAAAACGCCAACATGGGGTCCAAAGTTCACACGAAAAGTCGCACAACACTCGAAACGCTCACTTTCTGTTTTGATGTATTTATCACTTCACTAAACCTTAGGGCACTAAATAATCCTAGATTGTACACTAAAAACTGTATTAATTAAATTAAACAAGAAATTAAAAACCAGTAAAACAGATCGACCACGTTTTCCGTTCAACTACCTTCCACGGAATACATTCTCTTCTAACCGTTTAAAACCACTAACGACCGTCGGCGTATACTTCCGTTTCCGGTTGAAATTGTTTTTAATAATTCAGATTCTGATCACAAACAATATGTTCCCTTAAATTAGAAATTTATTAAATAGTTATTCATAATTAATAAGGAATTTAGTTATTCTTTATTTAAATGTTTTAACAAATATAATATTAAAAATAAAACGAGACTTGAATGTCGTCCATATCCGGTAGGCGTCGTTTTTGTATTTTATGTTAATTATTAATAGTATTTTATGTTAATTAAATGGAAAATGTATTTCATTAAGAATTTAAAATACATTTTAGTGGATGTTTTAAAAAATAATATTTTAATTAAATAGGAGTTAATTATGGATGCTAAAATAAAAATTATGCCTACTTACGGAGCAATCACGTGGCGTAATGGCGGCGCTTATTAAAAGGTTTTTTTTTATAGAAACTAAATACAATTTTAAACAAGTCAACTAGAAATCTTACGTAGTTATAGAAGAAATTTTGTAAACCTAGTTTGCTTTAAAACCAATTTTAATTGTAAGAATATTTAAAAAAAAAAGATGATTTCAATCCAGGGTAATTATAGGACATGCAAATAGCGAAGAGTGTGTCAACGATTATGATGCGATTGTAAAATAATGTAATACATAAAAATGAATCCCTTTCTTTAATTTTTTTTTGTGTCTAATATTGTCAGGAGAATGTTGTTATGTAAAAAATTCTAAGAAATTGAGTAAATTTAAAGGTCATATTATTTTTTCTTATGACTGGGAAACGTCTTTCGGGACAGCTAGTCGTAGCAGGCCTGTTCATCTCCGCGAGTTTACATCGAAAACAAAACACGCACGATTGCCCCCTACAAGAGTACTATTCGACAAGGCCTCACATACGAGCGAACATTGACTCATGCACGCGTATTCTTGTGTATGATGGAAAAAAATAAAGAAAATGGTGTACTAAATACTGTGCAGTATTTAACTGACTAAATAANGAGTCGCCGAGTTGAGGACAAAAAGAGGAACCATCCGAAGGGCCTTTAATAACATCTGCCCTCTTCCAGAACTTTGAAGCCTTCTTCAGCAGCCTTCAACCCGGGGAGCATGTCGCGGACCGGTCTTGACGCACGGGAGGAGACGTGCGGGAGGAATCCCACCACCACGAGCAGCGCGCCGTCCGCCGAGCGCGCCACACACTCGAAAAAAATAAAGAAAACGACAAAATGTTATTTTTTTCATGAATTCTCTTATTTTTTAATACTTTTACATAAATTATACAGCAACTAAGTAAACAAAACCCAGCAAATGCATCAAATTATTTTAATTTGGGCAGTACTTACATCAATTTGACCTATGTTTTTTCCAAAAGTATGGTGTAAAATTAGTGTAACTGTCAAAAGTACAAAAATACATTGGTGTAACTGCAATTTATTTCCTTAACTAAGACATATTAGATAATTCTTTTTATTTAATCGAAAACCGCGTAGAATTCTAAGCATTTCTGTAAAAACAGATCCAAAAAAGGTTAAATAGGAAAAAAGTTATGTCCGATTTAAGACGAAAAAAAACTTTAAACGGCTCTACTGAAAAACTGTATTTTGTCAGTTACCCCAAGTGAACCTGCAACTGACGATATGATTTTTTCCGTGTTAATGAACGTTCGTTCGTTCGTTTCAGCAGAAAGACGTCCACTGCTGGACAAAGGCCTCCCCCAAGGATTTCCACAAAGTCCTGCGCCGCTTGCATCCAGGTACCTCCCGCGACCTTCACCAGATCGTCGGTCCACCTAGTGGGAAGCCTGCGCACGCTACGTCTTCCAGCTCGTGGTCGCTACTCAAGAACTTTTCTGCCCCAGCGGTCATCAGCTCTTCGAGCTATGTGCCCTGCCCACTGCCACTTGATTTTAGCGATTTTGCGGGCTATGTCAGTCACTCTGGTTCTCCTACGGATCTCCTCATTACTGATTCGATCACGCAGGAAAACTCCGAGCATAGCACGCTCCATCGCTCTTTGGGTGACTTTGAGCCTTCTTATGAGGCCCATAGTAAGCGACCACGCCTCAGATCCGTACATCATCACTGGCAACACACACTGGTCAAATATTTTTTACTTGAGACACTGCGGTATTTCAGACGTGAGAATTTCGCGAAGCTTCCCAAACGCTGCCCAGCCGGCCAGTTAATGAACACCATGACGTATTTTATTGTGAAAAGTTTTTATTTAATTGTTTTTATGGATTTTTTTATCCACAACGAGGAAGCTCTTGGCCTGTATCTCACCTGATGGTAAGTGACGATCAGGCCAAAGGTGGAAGCGAGCTTCGCCTGGAATCCTCAACCACGGAGGAACTGGCTATCCTACCTCTAACTGCCGGTACACAATAATGCTGTTAACATTGTTGTTATGGCGACAGACTTAGGTAAGATGGTGGTAGCTAGCCAGGCGGACTTAGAACCCTACCACCAACCAAACCGAACAGAAAAATCTGCCCCCACTGGGAATCGAACATGGGACCTCTGCGTCTGAAGCAGGTGGTCTAGACCACTAGACCACAGAGGCGGTTAAAGAAGAAAGAGAAGAATTTTTAACAATTTGTAATTTTGTTTTTAATCAAACAATGTTTCTAATTTATTAAATGAGAAGATTGAGAAGCGTAAATAAATCAGTGTGGATTAAAATTACTACAAATATTTTACGGTAGTTATTATGTTAAGATTTTTTAAAAGTACCTACTGTCACCTAGTTAGTTAAATTGTATAATATCATGTTGCACTCAACTTTACCATACAATTTCGAAAATATTTAGGCAATATTTTAGTAAATCAAATATTGAGTTTACTTATAATAGCATAATTTCGTTCGCACGCATTTTGTGTTAAAAATTAATACAATAAGCTACGCAGGTGCCCGCGGCGGGCGCACGCCGCGGGCGTGCATTACGTGATCCTGTTTTATCGAAATCGTCCCGTTATGTGTATTTTTTCTCAAAATGTACTAATTTTAGTAAAAAGGTAATTAACTTAATCTTCAGAAAACTATTTCTAGGACAATGGTCTTTAAAAAGTCCTAAGTAAATCTACAAATACTTTATTTACTTTGCAACACTTAAATAATACTTCATCTATACTATTTAGTATTAAGTGAGCATACAAAAAATCTTAATTTAGTAAAATAAGACTTTTTTAACTTAAGCTAAGAATAACTTAAGACCAAATTCTCTAAAGAATAGGTACTTAACTTGGTTTTGGGTGTTCTTAATTTGCTTAAGTAGCTCTCGATGAAGAATATAAAGTCTTAAGGAAAAAAATCTCTATTCTAAGTTAATTTGGTTTTAGCTTAAGTGTTAGATAGAGTTAAAACAAGTAAGATTTTGCCATTAATACCAATTGCTACTTGGGAAGCTTAAATGACTGGACTAACACCATGGGGTTCGTTCGTTCGTTTCAGCCAAATGACGTCCACTGCTGGACAAAGGTTTTCCACAAAGAACGGTCCTGCGCTGCCCGCATCCAGGCTCTTCCCGCGACCTTTACCAGATCGTCGGTCCACCTAGTAGGAGGCCTGCCCACGCTACGTCTTCCAGCCCGTGGTCGCCACTCGAGAACTTTCCTGCCCCATCGGCCATCGTCTCTACGAGCTATGTGCCCCGCCCACTGCCATTTGATTTTAGCAATTCTGCTAGCTATGTCGGTTACTTCGTCGTTACTAGTTCTCCTGCGGATCTCATTTCTGATTCGATCACACAGGGAAACTCCGAGCATAGCCCGCTCCATCGCCCTTTGGGTGACCTTGAGCCTTATTATGACTTATACCTTGAGCCTTATTATGGCTCATACCAGATGAAAAAAATCATCCCCACTTTACATGTAAGCTTAGTGGGAGCTACGCTAATTTGATTTTTCCAAATTTTATTTTACCACTTTGTCGGAGTGATTAATATAGAGGTACATATCTCTACAAAAAATTACACCTCTACTGCCAATAGTTTCCAAGCAAAACCTCGGACAGACAGATGACGAAACTATAAGGGTTCCTTGTCAGGACTACTTACGGAACCCTAAAAATGGGGAATTACCTACTGGCCCACACCATTATGGGCACACACAATGTTCATAAGTATGTACAAAAACCCCAGCAAAATCTGTTTTTTCCTAATAACTTTAAAACTAAAATTTGAACGAATTTTGCTATTAGTGGACAAATTTCTGCTCACGATGGACTAATTATCTGCTATACTCTCGACTCTCTAAAGCACAACATTTATAAAAAATTTGCTGCGGTAATGCACTCAAATAATTTTAGTAAGTGGCGGTGCTGTTAGTGGTGGGTACCATTAAAAAGTCAAATGAAGAAACGCCAAGTGGCATATTGATACATTGGAACTATGAACTATCAACCCAGTATTTGGCGCCCTCCTGTAGGTAAATGTCATCCGCGCTGGAATGTGGCTCTATCCATATCTGTGGGCTCTCCCTTGCAATCACCCGCACACCCCTTCCGCGTTATGACCCTAAGTGAGCCACTTTTTTTTATTGATTTTTGTTTTTATTTATTTTTTTCCGAAATATGACCTGAAAACTAATTCTTTTGTCTCACGTGTTTTCAACCGCTTTTTTATTTGTTATTAATATCTAATATGTCTTTATTCAATTAAAATAAATTTCAGATCCAGATAATGATTGGATAGCTAGTTACGAACCGCCTAATTTTAACAAAAGTACAAACCACGATAAATAATTCTAAAAAATTAAATACATAATTGAAAAAAATTAAGGTGATAATGGATTGCCAATGATCTTAAAAAAATATCCAGTTTGTCTAACCTTCCGCCAAACACCCTGTAGATCACCTACACTGAACCAACTGAACTGTCCCACTAAACTCATTGACAGGGTCACGGTAATACAGGGGGGCGCCACCATCGTTCAACTATTACCCCCTTACTAATAAAACTTACACGCTCGTTGAACAGTGTTTTAAAGTGACGTTT